AAGCTCGGCTCGCGAGCCCATAAACGAGTCGAGCTCGAGCCGGCTCAGCTCACTTACACCCCTAGCTCCATCATCATCTCTTTAGCTCCCTTTAAGAGAGACTGCAAACTACAAATAAAAATATATTTTATTTATTTTTCAATAAAATAAGTTGGGGAAAAATTAATTAAGTGAACAAAAATGAATTTCAAATACGATTTATTTATAAAACTAATAAAAATATATTTTTAAAAAATGTTTTTGTGTTATCAAAATATTAAGTTAAAGCAAAGTTCAAAGAAGGAAAATGCAAAATAAAAATTGTACCGTACAAAAAAATTTGAGTTGATAGAGTGAATTTTACATATCAATATTGTACAAAAATTTAGCATGTGTAGATAAAAATAGTATGATTAGAAAAAATTTTTACATAAAAAATTCAAAAAGGAAAAAAAAAAAAAACTGCTGGGACTAGCCCAGTTGAAAAATCTACTATAAAGGATGTGATATAAGAATCATTCTTTTCTCACAGGCTAAAAAAATGAGATTATTTGAAAACAAATGTCTTATTTTTCATGACGTGGTTACAAAAATCAAGTATCTTTAACACCTAACAATACTGATTGATTTTCTTTCTAGAGATTACAGAAGTATGGTGTTCATAAGAAGACAATTAAAAGCCCAAAAATAAGTTTAAATCTTGATATAATATGATGATATCGACAATTACTCACGGTGATCACCGATGATGATGATGATTGTCGGTGGTAATAGCTGGTGATGGTTGTCAGTGAATATATTTGAAAATTGCAAGAGATGTATCAAGTTCTCTCATTTCTTACTTCTCTTCATGTGGAGAATAATACTCTATTTATAGGTTTTTTAAGTTAACATTTTGGTAACTTAAGCTAGAATCCAAGATACTCCATTGTACGGTGCATATTGATTCCTTTGATCGTGAAGCGTTTATTCCGCATTTCAGTGCATTAATGATGTAAAAAATTAGTGATCTTGGGTCGTTGGATTTGTCTTGTCGAACCGCTTGATTAAACTATAAAGCTGTCTAATTTGAAAATCATTTGGTCATCTAATTAAAATTTGGAGTTTTTAATTATACTTCAAGTGCTTCATTTGGATTCTTTTACTCCCAAATTGAACTACTTTTAACATCATCTTATTGATATATTTAGTTTTATTATAAATTTGTGGAAATTGGAGTTTGTATGGTTTTGAATTAAAAAAAAATCATGTCAATTTGTTTTAAAGATATATCAACAACAACAATAATAAAATGGTATAACATATGGTGAAATATTTTTCAAGAATTTGGGGGGAGGCACGAGCGAGTGGAGAGACCTACCAAACACAAACCAGAATGGGGTCTGAGCCGCAGAGAAATTATTGTGTGCGAAATCCGAATGCATTCGGATTCCAATCACCACATGCAACATCATCGGATGCAATCCGGGGTCTAGTGCATGTAGTGAAGTGGCACATGATAATTAATGCATTCGGATTTCACACACAATAATTTCGTGTCAGCCGTCCGTTGCCACATGCGCACGCCACTAGCGAGCCGTACGGTCCCGGGCCCATCGCACGTGTCTGGTTCCACTTATATGTATCCATCGTCTTCGATCCTATTTCTTTCTTCCCCGTCCTGAGCTTCAGCAGCCAAGCACCAAACTGCGCCAAATATATTCGAATCCCTCCTTCCCCTTCGATTCCAATCCACAATTTCTTATTCCCTCTATCGATTGATCGATTCGTGGATTTACTAAGACGGGGAATCCGGCGGAGTTCCGATTTATGGGTCGTAGCTTCAGCGACGCCGCCGACTCTTCCGGTCCTTTCAGCGAATGCAATAGTGATAGTTCTGGCGAGTTTTCGAGACCAGGATCCCCTTTATCTGGAGGATCCGGCAGTGGCCGAGCCGCCATCCTTCATCGTCTTCTCATCTCCTGCGCCGCCGACAACTCCGACGAGTTCATCCATGGTCTAATCTCCGATCTAGAATCCCCTGCCTCTTCGATCGACCTCCAGCGCCAAGCTGCTATGGAGCTCCGCCTCCTTGCCAAGCACAACCCAGAGAATCGGCTCAAAATCGGCCGCGCCGGTGCTTTTCGCCCTCTTATCTCGCTTCTCTCCCACTCAGATCCAGTCCTCCAGGAGAACGGCGTCACCGCCATCCTAAACCTCTCGCTCTGCGACGAGAATAAAGATATGATCGCGGCTGCTGGCGCTATTAAACCCCTTGTCCGCGCCCTCAAGAACGGCATCCCCGTTACCCGCGAGAACGCCGCTTGCGCTCTGTTTCGTCTATCTCAAATCGACGAGCACAAGATCGCCATCGGAATCTCCGGCGCCATCCCGCATCTCGTCAATCTCCTTCAGACAGGTGGGCCTCGTGGGAAGAAGGACGCATCCACCGCCCTCTACTCCCTTTGCTCCACAAAGGAGAACAAGATCCGAGCTATTCAGGCGGGAATCGTTCGCCCGCTCCTCGATCTAATGGCCGATCCTGACACAGGTATGGTCGATAAGGCCGCTTATGTTCTATATAACCTCGTGAGCCTGCCGGAAGGCCGCACCGCTGCGGTGGAGGAGGACGGGATCCCGGTCCTCGTCGAGATCGTCGAAGTCGGAACCCAACGGCAAAAGGAGATCGCCGCTGCAACTCTTCTCGTCATTTGCGAGGAGAGTTTTTCCTGCAGAGCTATGGTCGCTCGCGAGGGCGCGATTCCGCCGCTCGTCGCCCTTTCAGAGTCCGGCTCCTCCCGCGCCAAGCAAAAGGTCCGTATCCATTCTAACGCCGTAGCGTTAATCAATCCTTTGTTTTTGTTAATTAATTTGTGTATCTTGATTAATTGCAGGCGGTGGCGTTGGTTGAGCTTCTACGGCAACCGAGGGCAGCTGCAGGCGGCGGCCAGGTTCGGGGAGCGGTTGGGGCGGATTAGTGGCCACTTGGCATATTCTGCACCCACAACGTCAGAGTAAACATATGCCGCAGCGTGGACAGTGTAAATATCCCACCGCAGCTTTTGTTTATTGGTAAAGATAAATCGTATACTGTCCTGCTTCATTCAATTGGACTGTTGAAGAAATAATCCTCTTCAATAACTGAGAGCCTAGAAGTAGAACACTAGAACCAGTGATAAATTAGTGGTAATAGGGGGGCCTGGAGCCTTGTACGTGCCAGGTAGTAGAAAAATATCTTTGAATCTTTGGTTAAAATTTTGACGATAAATTTTGCCTATATTAATTGTTTATGTATTTGCGCTGAAATTTATTATAAGTGGAGTTTGCGCCCATTAATTTTTCATTTGTAAAAAGGTTGATTTTGGTGTGCATTTCTGATTTCATTGTAGCCTGTAGGCAGGAGGAAAGGGGTGCGGTGATGGAGAGATTATTGGGTCCAGATATTGGACACATATTATCGTTCGGTATTTCATAGTACCTAATAATACTGAACTCGGCAATGTGGAGTATCGAGCACATACAGAGCTTCCTACCGAGTAGGGGGTGATGTGGCAAATTTTTATTGGGCTCCGGATGTCGTCCGGTTTCTGGACCCAATAATTTCCCGTGGTGATGGCCATGGTTTGTTCTTGTTGTCTAGTTCTCTCTCAAAATAATAATAATAATAATAAAAGTATATTATATTGTCTCATTTTAGGAATATTTGATTTTATGTCACATAATATCATAAATATAAAAATTATGTTATGCTTAAAAAGGTACTCCCATTTTTTTGGGACATCTAGGCCAATTAAGGCTCACACACACAATGCATACATAGGACTCGAAAACAAGAACTCTTAGTTGGTAGCTTAAGCTCCTAACCAACAGATCAAGATGAGTTGTGTACTTCCATTTTGGACTACTAACTGTTTTTTTTTTATCCACCACTATCAAAATTAGTTTGAATAACATTTAAAAAATTTGCGATAAATGTTGAGATCATATGCGATAAATGTTTGATCAATGATTGAATATTGTATAAACCCTAATCAAATATTAATCTTTCTTATTTGAAAACCTTTTTTTATATATATAAAATTTCACATATGGTTGAAAAATGTTCAAATAGCACATTAACAAGATTTACAAAATATTTGAACTATACGTTCAAATAAAGTTTGTTTAATGTTCGATAAAATATACTTGAATTTGATATTTTTTTTTCTCATAATAATAAAAAAAGTAAAAAAAAAAAAGGTTTTGAAAATTACTTCTAATATAAAAAATTATTAAAAAAAAAAGCAAAAGAAAAGATTAAAACTCCTAATTAATCATAAGATGCTCTTAGAGGTTTAATGCTTCTCTTCTAACAAAAGTTGGAAGAAAACATAAACAAAGAAAATTCTTAATCTTTATCAATTGCTATACTTAAATTATAATAAATATTGCTGCTAAAAACAGTTAAAAATGAAGCCGCTGAGCAGCGCCGCCTATGACTCAGTAAAAAAAGAAAATTATTGGTGATCGGCAATATTGGCGTATTAGGTGGCTGTATTTATAAATAAATTACATATAAATCTAAACTGACAATTTCTGGATAATGGATTGCTAATGAAATAAATGGCTTTGGTCCACTTAGTTCTGCTTTGCAAATATTTTAAATTTGCTAGATTTGAATTTTATTAATTTGGTCTAATTTTGAAAATTTTATATGAAATTCAAATTTAGGAGAGTATCCAATATTCTCTTTTATTATTATTATTATTATTATTATTATTGTGAGGAATAATTGTCATATGAGGCTAAACAGTTTAAATTGGGATGGTCAAATTCTAGGAGGTATGAAATGTTGAACAATTCACAACTTTGTTTTTATTTTAATAAATTCATGTGTTGAATAATACAAGACTATATTAAATTATTAAACTTTTTGTTTTTTTCTCTATTTTTAGTGTTTTTTTTAATTTATGTTGTATTTGGAACGACTTTCTTGATGCAACTTTAAGCAGTTTTCTAGTACAAAAATTTTAATTTTTCTACTAAAAATCTGCTTTAAGAAGCAACAAGAAAGCCATCCTGAATGAAGCCTTAGATCAATTAAAGCAAACTCAAACACATATCACACATGTAAGACTCGAACTCAAGACTGCTTAATTTATAGTCAAAGCTCTCAACTAACATATTAAGGAGAGTGGATAGTGTTGATATCGAAATAACTCTATTTAGGTATAATTTTATATGATTATGAAGATTTGGTTACTATAGTTAAGTTTTTTTTTATCTAGAATATTAAATTTGATGAATATCTTATATTGTATTTTGTATCAATAAAATTCAAAGCTAAAATAGATAATAGAAATCAAGAACTTAGAACTTGTAGTTCATCTTTGAATTGAAGCAAGAAGGTCAACAATTATTTCCAAGATTAGATTTTTAAGATTCTTGAAATTAATACAATAGAGATTACAAGATTTAAATCTTTAGTCCATAAATGTTCTCAAAAGTAGAATTTTTATACAAAAAAGGATCATTCTTTTGAGATGGCTGCAATATTTTGTAAAGGTGACTATGAAATAGTTATGTAAAAAATACCTTTTTCTAGAGTTGTTATGAATATTATAATTAAATAAATATTTTAAATATGACTGTTGGTTTCTTACATCTACCATTCATTAGCAAATTAAGATGTAAAATGCAATTTCTCATCATACTTTTTTTTTTTTTGTGTAAAATGACAAATGAGCAGTAGCCAAATAAAATTGTGATTGCAATTTAAAAAATTACAATAAAAAAGCTACCCCAAACATATCATAATTAATAATTATTGTTGTGTCCTAGAATATTCGCGGCGGTAGAGAAATATAAAATTTAGTGTCTTAGCGTTGTACGAAAATCCGGCACGCAATCAGATAAGAGAGAGTCTAGCATTTATGTGACACCAAGATTTTTGTGGAAACCCCCTAAAAAGGAGGAAAATCACGGGGTCTAGCCCAGTTTGAATGAATCCACTAGTATTGTAGTTGATTACAAATGAGGCCCTTCCTTAGGGGAAGACCTTAGCTTGATGTACATCTTATATAGTACATTACATGGTGAGAATACAAAGAATCACTGTTGACGTGCTCGTTTGGTCAGAAGGACCATAGTATGGTGACGTAGGTAAGAATAACTGTAGTCGGCGGACAACGGAGGTCAGTAAGATCAATATCTAGTGACGGAGGTCGGAAAGACTGTAGTCGGTGGGCGACGTAAGTCAGGAGGACGTAGTCGGCTGGCGAGGGAGGTCGGAAGGACTGTAATTGGCGGGCGACGTAAGTTAGGAGGATCGTAGTCGACTGGCGGCGGAGGTCGGAAGGACTGTAGTTGGTGGGTGATGTAAGTCAAAAGGATCGTAGTCGGTAAGCGATGGAAGTTGGAAGGACTATAGTCGGTGGCTTACGTAAGTAAGAACGATCATAGTCGGCAGGCGACGTAGGTAAGAAGGACTGTAGTCAATGGGTGATGTAAGTCAGTAGGACCGTAGTCGGCTGGCGACGGAGGTCGGAAGGACTGTTGTTTGACGATGAAGGTCAGAAGGATGGCGTCAGGTAGAAATCCAGCATCAGACAGATGTCCGGCGAAAGTCCGACAACAAGCAGAAGTCCGACGTCGGGTTGAAACTTGGCGACGAGCGGAGGTCAGATATCGGGTAGAAGTCCGACGTCAGTTGGTGGCCGAGGAGAACTCCGGCGTCACTTGGAGTTCGGGTGAAACTCCGGCGTCACTTGGGCGGAATTCCGACGTCACTTGGAGGTCGGGCGGAATCCTGGTGTCACTTGGAGTTCGGGTAGAACTTCAGCGTTACTTGAAGGTTGGACAGAACTCCGACGTCACTTGGAGTTCGAGTGAAACTCCAGCGTTACTTGGAGGTCGGGCGGAATTTCGGAGTCCCTTGGAGGTCGAGCAGAATTCTTGCATCACTAGGAGGTCGGGCGGAATTCCGGTGTTACTTGAAAGTCGGGCGGAACTCCGGCTTGGTTGAGGAGGAGTTTCTTCCCTCCTATTCTTCTCTTCTCCTCTTCTTACTTCTTGCTTGGGCCCCCTCTCAAGAGAAATGAGGGGTATATTTATAGATTTATGGAGTGGCATGACCCGTAAATAGGTGAGAGATCAAGGGTAAATGGGGAGTAGTTGGATGGACGCCCGATATTGAATCCCTTGATCATGGAGTATTCGTCAAACATTTGATGGTCTTACTGATATCGGAATTTGGCGATCTTGAGCTCGTTGGATTCGTCTCGTCGAGCTGCTCGATTTAACTATAAGCATGCCACTTTTAGAAACCGTTTGGTAATCCAAATTGTTGTTTGAACCTTCCAACAGCACTTCGGGTCCTTGATTTGGACTTAGATTGAGCTGAATTTGGTGTCGTTGGGTTCATATTTTCGAGACGATCAGTTCAACTATAAGTTTGCTGAAATCTGAGTTCATATGATCCTAGATTTAATTTTTGAAGTTTCTAACTTGATTTTTTCTTCGAGATTCATGCCCGATCAAGATAATTTTTTGATAATATATCAATTATAAAAAACCATTAATAAGTCCTAATGAAGTAAAGTGTATGAAATATTTATTCATCTTCTTAAATCTCCATTTTTTACCTTTAATATTTTTCTTTTTCTTTTTCCTTTTTTTTTAATAGGTCATTCTTTTTTGAAAATGTTTTTAACAAGAAATTTAAATTTGGTACTGTGTAAAATATAAATTTTGAAGTGATGGAAGTGCACCACAAAATTAGGTTATTTATTAAATTAAACAAAGCCATTTATTTTTTTATGAGATAAATAAATAATTTACTTTTTCCAACAACTTAAAGAGGAACAAAGCCTTATCAATCCACCTCACAAACCAAATAATAAGAATTTTTAATTTCCATTTTTTATAACACTAATTTTGACTTTAAATAATTTAATTTAAAATGGTAATTTAAATTTTTAATTTAATATTTGATGTGAATATTATGTTGGATGGATCCACCAACTTGTAATTTTTATTGGAATAAATTTAAAATCCTTTGTCACATTGGACAATGATGTGCTAAGGAGAAGCCCATTGGCCAATATCAATGTTTCTCTCTCTTTGTTTATTTAACTATATTTAATATTTATTTATATTTTGTATTATTTGATTGGTTTGCACTTTGCATATTATTCATTTACGTCCACTTCCATCAATTAATGCAACAATTATTCATATTGGGATGTAAATGAGTTGAGCTGAGTCGAATTCTTGCTTAACTGAGCCAAATTTGTTTAAATTATACTGGGCTCGAACGCGAACTCATTTGCTAGGCTTGAACTAGACTCAAGTGAAAAATATGAA